TAGCAAGATCCAGCTCTACATACCCCATTATGACCCTTACCGCACTTTCCACAAGTGCGGCCCTTCTAGTTCCCTGATTTGGGATCAGCGGGCTTGGCCCGCTTGGCTGCCGGCTGGAATTGTGCCGATCGTCGATCCCTCCCCTGAGACTCAGCCTCCTCCCTAGCTTGAGTCTCCAGCTCAATCTCCCTCTTCTGGGCATTTGCCTGAAGCTCAGCAAATGTCCGGTATGAGGAGTTCGCCACGAACTCTCGAATGTCTCGCCTCAAGATACTCAAATACCGACTCATACGTGCCTGCTCAGTGGACACGTGCTCAGGGCAGAACATCACCCTCTCGTGGAATATCCTGGTAATCACTGTAACAGACTCAGTGCCCTGCTTGAGGGTCAGAAACTCCTGGGCTAATCGCTCCCTCTCCACCTGGGGAACGTACTCATCTCGGAACATGGCAGTGAACCTCTCCCAGGTCACCGCTGCAAGCTCAGCAGGCGAAAAGTGCGCTGTCACAAACTTCCACCAGTCCTTCGCTCCCAAGCGAAGCTGGTTCAGCACGAACCGTACTCTCAAATGCTCAGGAAATGAGCAAGTGAAGAAACACCCCTCCATGTCAGAAATCCATCTCATAGCCGCCACCGGGTCCTGGGTCCCATCAAACTCTGGTGGTTTCTTGTTGCTGAACTCCCAAAATAGCAACACATCACCACCCTGCGGCCTCGCAGCAGCAACAGCTGCGGTGGCCACCACAACAGCAGCCTCAGAAAGAGCAGCATAACGCTCTTCGAAAGTCTCAATCAGCGTGGTCTTAATAGACCCGAACATCTCTGGTATCTCTGCCCTGATGACCGCAGCCACCTCCTCGTGAATGATCTAACGGATCTCCTCATCACTAGCCCCGACGCCCTCCGGCATATGACGTGTCCTCACCATGATCAACCTCTGAAATACAACATCTGATAAATTAGAATCCGCTCGAGCATACTCACACTCGACAACTCATCCTTCCTTGATCCTTGGCATTCCGAAGATTCTTACTCGGACCGTACACCGCCCCGGTGCTTTCAGTAGTACGGGCCCAATACTACTGTCCACACCGTTTCAGTATACACCCCATATCCTCCTCTTCGAATCCCAATTTCCAAGTACTCTATCACTTTCTAACAGATCTCTCATAAGCTCCTCGCTGCTACCTATTCTCCCTCAAGCATCTCATAGCAGCTCACCTCTCCCTGGGCTAAGGCATCACAAATCAGGGCACTCTAGTCCTAATAGGAATACCTAGCCTACTTTAGCAAGAGAATACATCATAACAATCTTATAAACATATAATATAAGGGTATTTTGGGAAATCACCGTTCGGGCGCTGACTGATCATACACACGTTTCTCCTCTGAATTTCTCTAGAAATCTTTTACTTTTAGAAAATTTGGTTTTCTTTTTGAAAATATTTTCCAAATCCTCAGTTTGAGTTCAAATACTCCCGAAGGTGTACCCGAATCCCTCAAACCAAGGCTCTGATACCAAATTGTAACACCGTAAATTTCAAAACAAAATTTTCAAATTTTATAAAACATAATTCACTTAATATTCATAAAACAACCATGTTTGAAACTCAATCCAAGTCATACAAAAATCCCAAGATCTCAAAATCATAAATCTCATGCGTGTGTACTGATCAAGCCCGCGCCTTCCCACGGTCGTCACTAGTACCTGAAACAAATAACACCAAACACTGTAAGCACAAAGCTTAGTGAGTTCCCCAAAATACCACATATAACACATACTAGCCACTCGAGGCTATAACTCTGTGGGTCCGTGCACCCAAACTCTGTGAACCCTCAGGTTCTAAACTCTGTAAACATGCACATCATAAATCACAAAGAATAATGCAACGCAACACATAACATATAAATATAGCATACAAGCACTGTAGCACATAACTCTATTTACCTACTCAAGGTAAAGTATAGTGAGAAGACTCACCTCGCGTATCTCGGTAATTCGTAAATCCCTGAAATCACTAGTGCTTGATCTCCTGAGCTATAGTCCTCCTATAACACAATACATCTCTAATTAACACTTTCCCAACTAAGTTTTGACTATCCCTTAACAAGTCAACATAGGTCAACACTGGTCAACGGTCAACTTTGACCGGACTCGGCGAGTGCACTATAGCGACTCGGCGAGTCTATACGCATACACTGATTTCCCTGGGATCCTCACTTGACACGACGAGTATTCTCCTAACTCGACGAGTTCCACCTAGCATGAGTTGTGGGGCCTTCACGACTCAACTCGCCGAGTCCCAACTTGACTCAGTCCACCTGTCAACCCACTCTGACTCTCCCTGACTCACTGAGTCAATCCCTCAACTCGGCAAGACCACTCGTTGAGTGGTGCTGGGCAATCTTCATGCTACTCGCCGAGTCTGTTCTTCGGACTCGGCGAGTCCATGCCATATAACGACTCAAACTCACTCCTGAGGTCAGATCTGTTCCACTAACTCATAGATCCAGTCCTTCCAAACTTATTTATCACGTAAAGTCGCTATCTTGATGTACATACAACATCTATATGACCATATATGATGATTTAGCCCCAAATACCACAACTCAAGGTCATAATCTCCATTGCTCTTCATAAAGCTTGAAGAGTGAGGCTCTCTGGACCTCTATGGATCCAGATCCAAAGCCTCATCACTAGAAAGGGACTATTTGGGCATCAAATCAACCCAACAAAGGCCACAAGAAATCCTAAATCCAAATATACTTCATAAAACAGAAGATGAGCTGAATTAATACCTCAAGTGCGATGATCTAAGCTTCAAATCTACAGTATAGCAACCTCCTTTGCTTCCTCTTGGTTAGGACCTCCTTCTTCTTGCTAAACAACACCACAAAGGTCAATAATGGCTTCTTTTCTCACTCAAAATGCTCAAGCACTCTAGGGTTTTCTCTCTATTGATTGGTGAGCACAAAAGACGGCCATAAGGCCCTTTAAATAGGTCTCAAACCCTAGGAATTAGGGTTTCATTACACAGCGTGGACTCGCCGAGTCCAGACGCGAACCCGCGTCCAAAATCGCGATCCTACTCGGCGAGTTTGAGCTCCAACTCGCCGAGTCCACTCACAATTATCAAAAATACACCAATAATAAATACCTGAAAATTCCGGGCTGTTACATCATACACATAGAAATATTACTTAAAACAATTGTACTTTACATCAAACTTTGTCACCATTTAGCACCGGTTGTATGCAGCAAAATAATTATATTAAAAGGACGATTTAAATCCCAAGAGGTAATACATGCTTTTTGATTTTATATTGAATAATAAATTAGTAATAGTATATTACAATCATGAATATATTTTTATTTATATATTTTTAAATAAAAAACAATTTAAAACATAATAAAATTTTAGTTAAACTGTTTTCTATTAGTTTGTGAATATAATTAAGTATTTTTGTTATCTTTTTCTAATTTGAAATCTTTTTGTACTTAAAATTTTAGGAGTCACACGAAGCCATATATTTTTTTAGGTATAATTTAGGCCCACGTATCAAATGGTTTTTTTGAAAATTGATTTTGATATTTTGGTTAGTTAATAAATACCAAAATCGAATCGGGTTAATTTTGACAATTGATTTCTATTATGTTTTATCTTTTTTAATTTGATTTAACATACATTCGGGTCGGGTAGGAGGGTCCAAATCAATTCACATTATTTGTAGCATTACCATTTACCACATACAGTTCAATTTTAAGTAATAAGAATTACAGTTTTCTGTAGTTTACAAGTGCTGCTGCAGATAAGTGCGTCGTTCTAGTAGAGAGTGTATAAGTGGTTGAAGAAAAACAGAGTCATACTCATACCCTACTTACCACCAGAGAACGGAGGCTGATGCCGGTATTCACCGGAACAACAGCTACTAGTATGTAATTTCCCCGTCATTCACTGTCGCATCAATTCATTGTCTCTCCATATTGGAAATTACGTTTCCGTTTCGAATTTCGTGTAAGAACTTCATCAAGCCATTCGATATTACAGTACAGTTCGTTGTAGGGATTTTCATGTTACGAATTTCAGGGTTTAGGGCAATGATTAGACTCTGTATCAACATATTGTTGGTTGAAAGTTGAATTTAAACTAGGAGTTTACAAGGTACGTAGGCCAGAACTATTGGAAATTTAGTTAAAAGTTCGATTTACACAAGGAGTTTACAAGGTGAGAAACCTTTTCCTGCATAGCCAAACGTAAAAGGAGCTTAGAATTGGGACATGTCCTTTGCATTTAAATTAGATGTTTTTTTTTTCTATGGCGTGGCTGGATACAACAAGGGTGTACCCTATCATGGTTTATTCATCACATTTCCTAACAGAATACGTGAACTGTCAATCTGTCGTATAGTCAGGTTATGAAAATCTTATCTGTTGCATCCTTAGCTGAGGTGAGATTTGCCAATTAAGTATCCAATTGTTGATGGTTTATGCTTCCCTCATTGTTGATTTTAGTTTGTTAATTGGATGAACATTTGGACAATAACAGCATAACTTATATGGCTGTGAAACTAATAGGTTGTGATTGGTAACGTTGTATGATATGCAAGTAAAAAACCATAAAAGTTAAGGATCATATAATGTATCTTCTCTTTGAAGAGCACAAAGTTTTATCAGTTTTTGATTGTTTGTTTTGTTCTTTATGGTATGAACTTACTTTATATATCATTATATCTCCATTACTCTACATACAAGTAATCTTGGCTCTCATTGTAAACCTTCTTGTAACATGTTTATTGTAATCGATCAATTTTAGTTGCTGGAGAATATTTAGCTAAGAGGGCGATTACATATACCTACCAATTGAACTGACTGAATATAATCTCCAATTTCCATCATCATGGATAACTTTTCCCTTGCTTCCTCCACCACATATTACTGCTCTACTTTACTCCCTTTCTACCACCACTCTCCCTTTCTACTCCATCACCGCTTGCTCCCATGACTCTGAAAATCCCACCACCACCTCCACCTCCTCGTCCCTCCGCTGCCCCCACCAACAACAAACCACCCTTCAAACCCATCACCACCAAGCCCCACCCTCCAAAACCCAAAACCCACATCACCAATCCTCTTCAAACACTTAAAAGAAACCCAATCAGTAATAATAATAATAATAATAATAATAATAATAATAATAATAATAATAATAATAATTCACAAACCCTAATAGAGAAGCTCTGGTTAACCAGCAAACTCTCTCCCCCACCGCCACCTCCACCTCCGCCTCCACCAGCACCACCGCAACCACCGCCAGAATCTTCTGCATACAAAACTGATTTGGATGAAATCGAGAATAACAGTGATTTGAGACCCACGCAAATCGAGTACATAGATAAAAGGAAAATCTTTGTGGGGAATCTTCCATGGTGGATAAAAAAGAACGAGCTTGAAGAACTGTTCAGACAATTTGGACCAATAAAGAAAGTGATATCAATAAAGCGTTACAATGACACTGAAAGAAACATGGGGTTTGGGTTTGTAATATATGGAGGTACAACAACTGAAAATTCAGCAATGAAAGCAGTTGAGTTTGATGGTATGGAGTTTCATGGGAGGGTGTTAACTGTAAATCTTGATGATGGGAGACGATTGAAGGAGAAATCTGCAGATAGGGCTAGGTGGATTGAAGGTGATGACACTGTAGATTACAAGTCAAAATGGGAAGAAGAGAGACATGTTTCAAGAAAAGATCTCAAAAACATGTTAGGAACTCAACCAAAAAATTGGCAAGCTATTGTTAAAGCTTTTGAAAGGATCAAAAAGGTATCTAGATTCTAGAACCTGAAACTTCTTTCTTTACTCTAATATATAAATTCATTATTTTTTCTAAAAGTTGACTATTATAGCCTTCAAGAACAGAGTATGGGTTGATGATTAACTATTATGCAAAGAAAGGTGACATGCATCGAGCAAGAGAAATGTTTGAGAGCATGAGGGGTAGGGGAATTGAACCAAACTCACATGTATTTACCACGTAAGGGTTATTGCTATATTGAGTGCAAATTTATCCTCTTTTTTCATTTTCCTGCATTAAATTAACTTATTTTATGCAGCCTAATTCACGCTTATGCAGTAGGTAGAGATATGGAGGAGGCTCTTTTTTTGTGTAAGGAAAATGAAAGACGAGGGCATTGAATTGACTTTATTGACTTACAGTGTTCTTATAGGAGGATTTGCTAGGGTTGATATAAAGTAAGTAAAAGTGTAAAACTCACACACACATACATATACATATGTATCTATTAAATGATCAATAGTTGCTTAAATATTCAATTTTTTTATTATGGAAGTGCTGCAGATAAGTGGTTCAAGGAAGCCAAAGACAAGCTTACAACTTTGAATGCAGTTATATATGGAAACATAATTTATGCACATTGATGAGTATTCCTTTCTAATTATATATTTTAAATATGAAAAAAAAAAATACTTTGTAACATTCTGAAACACACACACACACAGCCAAGCCTTCAACATGGAGGGTGCTAAAGCCTTGATGAGGGAGATGGAAGAAGAGGGCATTGATGCTACAATGGATATTTACCACACAATGATGGATGGTTATACAATGATTAAAAATGAAGATAAATGTCTCATTGTCTATAAGCGACTCAAGTTAATATTTTTTCTCTTTTCTTTTTTTTTACGCAAGATTTGTATTTAACTATTTATCTCTTTTAGTACACTAACCTTGAAAACCCTTTGTAGGAATGTGGCTTTACACCAAATGAAGTCACATACGGATGTCTTATTAATCTTTACACCAAGGTAACTTCAAATCATTATCTATGGTTACCAAACACCATGGCTAGTATTTTTTTTTCCAGTAATATGGTGTCATATTTATAGATGGGAAAAGTTTCAAAATCATTGGAGGTGAGTGAAACAATGAAATGGAACGGGATAAAGCATAACATGAAGACATATTCAATGTTGATTAACGGATTTATAAAGCTAAAAGACTGGGCTAATGCATTTGCAATATTTGATGAAATACTGGTGCCAGGGATTACACCAAATGAGCATACATATACAACAATCATGCATGGTTATGCATCATTAGGTGACACTGGAAAAGCATTTGAGTATTTCTCTATACTTAAAAATGAAGGATTGGATGTTGATGTGTTCACATATGAGGCTTTACGTAAAGCTTGTTGTAAAGCTGGAAGGATGCAAAGTGCTTTAGCAGTTACTAAAGAAATGCATTCCCGAAAAATCCCAAGAAATACTATTGTTTACAACATACTTATAGATGGGTACGATTTTAATTAAAACTATAATAAAATTAGTGACCTAAAGTTTATGATATTAGTAAAATTAGTAATCTTGTTTTTGTTTTTGTAGATGGGCTAAAAGGGGAGATGTTTGGGAAGCAGCTGATTTAATGCAACAAATGAAGCAAGAAGGGGTTCAACCTGATATCTGGACTTACACATCTTTCATCAATGTTTGTTGTAAAGCTGGAGATATGCTTGTATGTCAAAATTCCTAATTTACCCTTTGTATTTTTTATTATTTGCTAATTATTATTTTTGTGGCTAATGTATTGATTATGGTTTTTGAGTGTAGAGAGCAGGGAAAACAATGAAGGAAATGGAGGCAGTGGGATGGAACCCTAATTTGAAAACCTACACAACCCTAATCCATGGGTGGGCCCGGGCTTCACTTCCTGAAAAAGCTTTAAAGTGCTTTGAGGATATGAAATCTGCGGGATTAAAACCTGATGGAGTTGTCTACCATTGTTTGATGAGATCGTTGTTATCAAGAGCTTCAGTAGCAGCTGAAGACTATATTTACTCGGGTGTTCAACACATCTGTGCTGAAATGGTGGAATCGGGTTTAACGGTTGATATGGGGACAGCTGTCCACTGGGCCCGCTGTTTAAGGAAGATTGAAAGAGGTGGTGGTGATATCATGAAGCACTTCAGAAGACGTTCCTGCCTGATTGGAATGCTTGATGAAATTTATGGGGTGGAGGTTAGTGGTGATGATGATGATGATGATGATGGGGATTTTGATTGAGTGTATATGTGGTGAATGTTTTTGATGGAATAATGTTTTAATGATTTGTATTTTATGCTATGGAAGTTGTACATGTTCTCTATTAGTTAGAGGTGTTCATAAAACTGTAGTTTGTAATTTTGTTATGTTAAACAGCATTACGTGTTGTGCTTTGTAGTTTTTAACTACAAATCAAAATGCATTACTTTTAAATTTATTGGTTTTTTCATCATATAAACTAATCTAAATATTCTTTTAAAAACTCATTTTACCACCATTAAAAATTAATAAACACTTTTCTGTAAAAATATTTTTAGAGTTCAAAAAGCAATCACAAACACTCCATAAGTTAGATTTTATAATTTGTAAAATTATATTGTTTTCTAAAACAATAAGTAAACATATGCAATTTAAATATCTAGATGAATCAAGCTAAATTTAAGTAAACCTTTAAAAACCATTTGCAACTCATCCAATTGTATTCCACTGCATCGCATAATGGGGTATAATAATTTTGGAGTGCTGTTTATGGTTTTCTTAATATCTCAAATCATATGGTATAGTTTGTGGTTTTGAATCTAAATTACACTACAAAACAGTGAGCATTGTGACACTCCAAGCTTTAGTTTGTTGTAGTAGCATGTAAATAGGAAACTTTTTGATGTGAATATGTAACTTAATTTTGTGACTTTTCATTTGATTTCATCTGAACAAAACGTTGTAACGACTTTTAGTGTATAAGCTATAAAACAACTATTGGAGTATATTTACATTTTTCAGTCACTACCTAGATATGTTGTATATTTTATTTTAATAAAAGAATCTTACGGATAAATAGGCTATTTAGTGCAATGAACCTACAAATGTTATTGTTTATATATATTTTAATTTTATAAATCTTGAAGCGACTCCACAAAGAATATAATGGAGGAGATTAAATGACCCGATCGGTTTTTAAAAAAAAAGCTTTACAACTCTTATATTAAAGATAAAATGCATATTTAAAAAGAGTATCTTAAATCAAATTTTATTTTAAAAATATATTTTAAAAACAGATGTTTAAAAATATGTATCCATGTAAGCCACATTTTATGTTACATAAGAGCATCTTCAATACAAACATTTATCTATAGCTAACTATTACCTTTTTAATCAATTATCACTAAATTGCTAGCGTGCAAATTTATATATATCCTAGGCAAATGTCTGTGCGTTGCACATAAATACCTATATAGTTAATATCTTTAAAAATATATATTTTCTTAAATATAACAATAAATTGTTGTTAAATTTAATATAATAAATCGTGGGATATATACAGTAAAATCTCAATATTTTCATCCATTTGACAAGAAAATCGTAAACTTTATTTTTTTGACAGTAAAGTTCAAATTACCGGCAATTTTTGACACTTTTATCATTTTTTCCCGGTTAGCCGGTAATTAAGACTTTTTTTATCAAAAAAAGAAAGTTTGGGACTTTCTTGTGAAATCGTCAATTAGAACTTTACTGTCAAAAAAATAAAGTTTAGGACTTTCTTGTCAAGTCGTTGAAAATATTGGGACTTTAGTGTATATATAATTTTTTTGGTTAGAAATTTAATGGTATGATATTCTTTAAGTATAAGAGTTATTGAAACATTCTCTAATTAGGTAGATCCTATTGAAATCTTTAACGTTTGCTTTTTGTTAAATCATTTTTTTAATCTCAACAAACCGACATTGAAAAAAAATGAGATAATCAAGAAATAAATAAAGAAAGAACCAGGTTTGTGTTTGTATAAAGCCAAACAATTTCGTTTTTTTCGATTTCTTATTTCTCCATTTTTGAGACTGCAAAAAGCCAACACAACCTTCGTTCTTTATTTCATTCTTTCTTGATTTTCTTAATTTTTTTTTTTCAATGTCGGTTTGTTGATATTAAAAAAACGATTTAACAAGAAGCAAATGTTAAAGATTCAAGGTTACAATAACTCTTATGCTTAAAGAGTATCATACAATTAAATTTTTAACAAAAAAAATTATATATACACTAAAATCCCAATATTTTTAAGGATTTGACAAGAAAGTCCTAAACTTTATTTTTTTACAGTAAAATCCTAATTAACGATTTGACAAGAAATGACTAAACTTTTTTTTTTTGACAAAAAAGTCTCCATTACCAGCTAACCGGAAAAAAAGGTTAAAAGTGTCAAAAACTGCCGGTAATTTGGACTTTACTGTTAAAAAAATGAAGTGTAGGACTTTTTTGTCAAATCGATGAAAATATTGGGACTTTACTGTATATATCCCAATAATTCGTATACTAAGTTGATATAACATATTGATTATTTTGAGTTATATGATAATATATACATCTATTAAAAGTTAAATCAGTATAATCTCAATCGTTCGAATGACATCTATCTGCGAGTTACTTATGAATGAATATGGTTTAATGTTACACAGTTGTTATTGTTAATAATTTTTTTTTAAAATTATTAGCATAACATTTTAACTTCTATCATTGTAATTATTTAAAACATCAAATATTATTTTTTGTTTTTAAAGGTTATAATATAATCATTTATATATAGTTATTTTTAACTATTGTTATTGTAAGTTATTTTAAGCTATTTATTTGAAAACTTTTAATGATTATAAAAATATGTTTAACAAATATTTTAGTTAAATTGAGATTACGACTTAGTTTTTGCATTTTGCACTACGATTTATCACTTTTAACTATTCGCAAAATATTCTTTTGGTTTTTTAAGTAGAAGTGAAATTTATATTTAAGTTGACCATGTAATGTTATATTTAAGTTAACAATTTAAATATTTTATCAAAGATTTTATCAAAGTTGTGTAAAAGTTGTAGTTTTAAACTGATAATTGTTTACACACAACAACATATTAAATCTAATAAATTAAATATAATATGTTAATTTTTTTTAGAAAAAGAACTTCCCCAGGTTTCCGGGCCAGCTTTCGTGCACCAACTAATCCCCCACTGCAAACATGAAGCTTTGTCTCATGCCTTGGAGTCACTGCAGACGGACCTTCATGACCACAAAGGCTGAGTGGTGCCATGATTTGAATATGGGTCAATAGGTTATCCACCATATCTTTTACATGCCTTACCAAGTTACCACAACCCAAGTAGTTTATAATATGTTAAAAGTTAAAGATATAACTTTATAAGTAGAAATAAAAATATTACTTTAATATTGAAATTTAGTTTATTTATGATTATACTTCAGGTTTGATATTTATTTAACCTTATTAACCAACTTATAGTCATTAATAGAAAGACACTACAATTATCACTTTTAACTATTTACAAAATATTCTTTGGGTTGTTTAAGTTGAATTAAAATTTATACTTAAGTTGACTCTGTAATGTTTTATTTAAATTAACAATTTAAGTATTTTATCCACACTTTTCAAAAACTATCATTTTAAAATGATAATGGTTTACATATAACGACATTTTAAAACTAATAAATTAAGTATAATATGTTAAAAGTTAAAGACATAACTTTAAAAGTAAAAGTAAATATATTATTTTAATATTGAAATTTAGTTTATATATGATTACACTTTAGGTTAGATATTTATTTAACCTTATTAACCAAGTTATAATCACTATTAGAAAGAAATTAAAAAGACATTAAAGTTTCAAATGAATGTGATGAAAGGAAAAATGCTTCATTTATAAGTATATTAGGTGAATGCTCGCGCGTTGCGCATAAATACCTATATAGTTGAAGTTTTTACAAATATATATATTTTAAATATAACAATAACGTTGTTAAATTTGATATAATAATTCGTATACTAAGGTATATAATATATTGATTATTTTGAATTATATGATAATATATACATCTACTATAACTGCATAATCTCAATCGTTTGAATGAATTATATTCGTGAGTTACACATGAATAAAAGTTAAATATGATATATATAGTTTAATGTTATTTATAGTTGTTGTTGTTAATTAATTTTTCAAAATTTATTTGCTTAATGTAATAGTTGCTATCATTATAATTATTTAAAACCTCAAATATTGTTTTTTTGATTTTAAAGGTTACAATATAATCATTTATATAGAGTTATTTTTAACTATTGCCATTGTAAACTATTTTAAGCTACTTATTTGAAATCTTTTAACGATTATAAAAATATGTTTAGGAAATACTTAGTTAAATTGATATTACAATTTAGTTTTTGCATTTACGGATATATACAGTAAAGTCCCAATATTTTCATCGATTTGACAAGAAAGTCCTAAACTTTATTTTTTTAACAGTAAAGTCCAAATTACCGGCAATTTTTGACACTTTTACCATTTTTTCCCGGTTAGCCGGTAATTAAGATTTTTTTGTCAAAAAAAGAAAGTTTGGGACTTTCTTGTGAAATCGTCAATTAGGACTTTACTGTAAAAAAAAACAAAGTTTAGGACTTTCTTGTCAAGTCGTTGAAAATATTGGGACTTTAGAGTATTATAATTTTTTTTGGTTAGAAATTTAATGGTATGATACTATTTAAGTATAAGAGTTATTGAAACATTATCTAATCAGGTAGATCCTATTGAAATCCTTAACGTTTGCTTCTTGTTAAATCGTTTTTTTAATCTCAACAAACCGACATTGAAAAAAAGTGAGATAATCAAGAAATAAAGAAAGAAAGAACCAGATTTGTGTTTGTATAAAGCCAAACAATTTCGTTTTTTTCGATTTCTTATTTCTCCATTTTTTAGACTACAAAAAGCCAACACAACCTTCGTTCTTTCTTTCATTCTTTCTTTATTTTCTCATTTTTTTTCAATATCGGTTTGTTGATATTAAAAAAACGATTTAACAAGAAGCAAACGTTAAAGATTTCAATAGGATTTGGATGATTAAAGAAGGTTACAATAACTCTTATGCTTAAAGAGTATCATACAATTAAATTTTTAACAAAAAAATTATATATACACTAAAGTCCTAATATTTTTAAGGATTTGACAAGAAAATCCTAAACTTTATTTTTTTGA